CTCGGGGTGGCGAGGTACAGTGGGGGGAACTCGGGCCAAGGAGGCCCCAAAGCAAGGCTTTTAGTGCATGATTTCCTTTTACAACTTGACCAATTAGGTCTGCACTGCAAGGTGAAAATAGGCAACCGCTGTGAGTCTTTATATATATATATAAAAATAATATATATATATATATGTATGGTTGTTGGCAAGAGCCTGTGGGAATCACAAACAATGTCACGACCCACAATTCGACGGCCAGGGTGAGGATGGATTGGCCTTGACTGAAAGGAGATGGAACGAGGTGTCCAACCTCCGGGAGGCCTCACTGGTGTTCCAAGTCGACACCTTGGTCATTGGAGCTAAAGGTTTCAATTGCATGGCAACTGTGTGAAATATGTTGTTTTTCCTGCTTGGTGATGTCGGTGTCCAGATTGATTCTGGTGCAATCTTGGAGGTTCTGGCAAGAAGTGGATGTGATGTGAACCGGTCTCAGTGCGACTTAAACTTCAGCCTGAATGGTGCCTGGTCATGCTTTGTGTGTGATGGTAAAAGATCACTTCTGTGTTTTGGTGCTGGCTACCACAGGCCAGAGCCACTGGTGCCACGGACACATCTACCGCTTTCCTGGCGCCATTTGGACTGAGCTGTATTGGCAACAACGGATACTAGCAGAAACTCCAAGAGAACCGGCTACTCGAACACCACAATCAGAATCATGCTGAACATGTGTCCTTTTCTTTCGTGAGATAAGACTGCGACCTTTAGAATGGGTGTAAATTTGTTGATAACGTCTTGGAATGCAAAGGCAAAGGAATCACATATATTTATGCCAGGCTTGGTTGTGTAGTTGTGCGCTACCGACATTTGCGACAAGCTGTTTGGGGTAGCGAGCCTGTAACGGAACATCCGGCATGTTTAATTGGACACTGAGTCACCACATTCTTTGAGAGCCAGCAGGTTTCTAGAAACTATAGAAACAGGGCTAAGATTCATGCTGGTGGCTAGTGACTGGACGCTGATGAGCCAAAGGCAAAAAAACACATGTTAAGTCTCACAACCACTCACAGAGGAAAGCATAACATATCGAAGTTACACGTCGTCCACATGACTTTGAGCGTGACATCCCTGGACATCAATAATAGCAATGGAAAGCTGCTCCCAAGTTCTTTTGGCTTGAAGTTGCTTGAGGGGTTCGTCAGGTAGTTCGGACGCTGCGGCTTAGTTGTCGTCTGAAGCTTACTTTATTTGTGCGTTCTGGACAGGCAAGTGGACAGGCAAGAAGAACTTTGCAAGAAATGCCACTGACAAGTCTTTGCATATCAATTTCTATTTTACTTGGACGAGACTACTGGGGTGTGGAGCAGGCAGCTGGATCCAAGGTGGAAGTCTACGGGTGCAGATCGATTTCCGACCAAGATTCTTCGAGTGCAAGGAGGAGGCAATGGATGCATGAAATTCTGCAGGATTTATCACTTTCTTGGCATCGGAACCACCGCTTCTCAATTTGTTCACATAGCTGGAGTGGATTGAATTACCAACCCGCTCATACTGCTGTCAATGCTGTCCACTGTCAGGAACGAGCAAAGATGCTTTCACCTGAAGAGGAAGATGAGGCATATTATCAGTCAAGTAGCCTGGTTGTACAATACAATGTTGTACAATGTTGTACATGGAAGCATTGGAGCATTTTACTAGCAACTGTTCGCATGAATCAAGTCTTCCCAAAGTCTTCGTAAGCTCCAGTGGCTGGAAGTGTTTGCACCTTTGGTAAGCAAATGATGCCATGGCAACATGTATGAGTCCTCTGGCAGTTGTATCGGGTGACTGCTGGAACGGAAGAGGCGGACTGCTGTGAACCTTCTGTGAAAACGTATACAAGCTTGCAATCCGATTTTTGCCCGCAAATTTGTCTGAGGATGAACAAAGAGAGGCTTTGATGTTCCAAGTGCTGCACTTACAACATGTAATTTGCTGCTATCCACAGAGATGTGCAGGTAATAGTGTGATTAAGTTGCTGTTATCATTGGCAAGACTCTGAGGAACAGATCGAAAAGAAGAAGGCTGATGCAGAGCGGCTCAGCATCGACATCATGGGGAAAATGAAGGCACGGACATAGTGCAACGTGCTCGTCATTCGTGGCTCACATTGATTCAGGCCAGGCAACAAATCCTCAGTGCAGATGAGGCCATTGAACGTGCCAAGAGGACCGAGGGATACCGAGGTTGGGATACCGAATGGGCGGTGCATGCAAAAGCGACTCATGCGACTGACCGTTCGACAGCATGCAGGATTCGACACATGCGAGATCCCGAGGCGGTTCGACGGCTCTTCATTCGGATGATTGCTCTGCAGATGCTACATGTTCTTTTTTTTCTGCCAAAGCAATTTTGGCTTCCTTCATTAGGAGGACTGCTTCGGCCTGAAGCCTCTTTGTAATGTCGGACGTTGAATCTCCAGATGATGATGGATTTGCTATGTCACCTTTGATATCTTCAGGAGTGTTTGCCCAAAGCATTGCATTCCATGACTTGATAGCAAGCATCATGAGAGCCATTGGCTGGACTATGGCATCCCAGATCTTGAGCTTTTACGTGCTGTTCTTCTCAGTTGCCCTTGAACTATCACATACCTGTCAGCCGGGTGCTTGCAGCGGATTCTTTATTCCTCTTCTTATTTCGTATGTTCTTCCAATTCTCGGCTTGTCATCCTTGATTGTCTTTGTGTGCTACTTGCTCTTTTTTTCCCGAAAGCATTGCGAAGGGTTCTTCCGGAAAATCCCTTGAAGACTGACACTTCGACACTTACACTTACACACTGACACTTCCACCACACTTGCACTACAACATGAACGCTATACGCACCCCAGTGTAAGTGGAAGAGCGAAAGCATCCAAGTGCAAAGTATGCAAGTGTCAAAGTATGCAAGTGTAAGTATGCAAGTGTAATGATGCAAGTGCAATGATGAGTATGCAAGCATGCAATGAGTATGCAAGCATGCAATGAGTAGGCAAGTGTGAGCATGGAAAACTAGCACGGGAGATGTCCTAATGAAAAAACATGTCCCCACTTTATAAATTCTCCCTTAAAGGCGGACGGTGGGACGAACAGCGTCAACCGAAAATGCAACCCTCTGCGGAGATCGTGCGTGTCGAGTGCGCGAAATGCAGGC